CCAAAATTATTTTTACCAATCAAACATGACAATAAGTAATAATAATTTTTTTTATTCTATTTCATTTATCATATCAAATTACATAATAATTATTTTACTCTATTCTTATTTTATTTTATTTTTACATAATATTTATTTTATTCTATTCTTATTTATTTCGTAAATTAAACATACCGTGAGAGAATTTGTTAACAAAATTAATTATTATAATACTATTTCCATATTTAATTGTAATAATAAAAATTTTAATATGATAATTAAATACTAAAGACAGACATCATTCGGAGGCTTGTGCAATTAGAGAAAAAGAAGGTTAAGGTTTCTAAATAATAATTTTTTAAAAAAGATGACACGTAAGGCCATGGCTGCCCTCCTACGTGTCAGTTTGTTGTTTCCATGTCAGCACGAAGCAGTTGATGAAATCAAGACAACGACAATAAAAGTCACGGTAAAACTTGTTTGTACGCCTTTCCAGCTTCCGTATATATCGAAGCTTTGTGTTTCCATTTTTGTCCCTCCTGGTGTTCTGGCGCCTGCTCAATCCAATGTACCCTCCGAAGCCTGCCAAATCACTTATCTGGAGAGTTTTCGATACGTCCTCTAGCGCTTAAATATCAGTACTCGGTCTTGGTTCCACAGACAGAAAGTTTAGCAGATAAATATTGAGAAAGAAAAGAGAGTCAAGAGAACAAAAACAAAAGCTATCTGTCTCTGATGTGTGATTGTCTGAAACCATGGATTCGACCAACAGAAACAATTCCTTTGTATTTCCTTATTACCCATCTTTCTTGTTTGTGTAATCATTGAAATTACCTCCGAAGTTGCAGTTTTTTTTGGGCTGGCTACGGAAGGGTGTTCGTGTGTTCTTTTTTTTTTGGGTTTTTCTAATGGATTTGTTTTAGTGCTTATTTTGTGCATTTGATTGTGATGAACAGGGGTCAAGCTTCCTAACCATGGGAGAGCGGATCTGTGCAGCTTTCATGCCGTTTATTGCAGTGATCGATTTCTTGATTTTTTCAATGGCCAATTGTTTTGAGCACCGGCCCTGTTTCAAGAAATGCCGCTATGGGTTCTCCGATCTTGCCCGTCTTGCCAATGAATCTCATTGTACTTCTGTCTCTCATTTCATATCTTCTTTATTTTGTTCTTAAAAAAAGTATTAATTATTGAGATTTTTTACGGTTTTTGTCATTTTGAATATATGCTATATCTATTGTTAATTTGGTTTTCTGGTATTTCAAGGAAAAAAAAGTACGTGTTACTGTGAAACATGAAAAATTACAGTTTTTACCTTTTTTTCCCCAGCCACTTTGAGTAAGCAAACATGGCAGTTTCGTCATTTTGAAGTAACACGTTGCATGGTTTTCTTACTAGTTATGAACTTATGGTGCAGTTACGGTGAATGAAGTGGAGGCGCTGTACGAACTGTTCAAGAAGTTGAGTTGCTCAATTATTGATGATGGATTGATTCACAAGGTAAAATGAAATTCTGAGGCAAATTGGTGCCATAAACTTTGTTGTAGTTCGTATGCTTTGTAATCTATGACTTTTCTTTTATGGCTTAATTTTTTTTTCTATGAATGGCATTCCTTCAATCTGATGTGTCAGAATTTGTTTACAATTAGGTCATTGAATGATTTCAATAAATGTTAAAATGTGAATGATTATCTAAATTCTTTTCGTGTTATAGGAAGAGCTTCAGTTAGCATTGCTCCATACTCCATATGGCGAGAATCTTTTCCTTGACAGGGTAAATCTCTTGCAACAATATCAGTTCTTCTATTATGTACTTTCTTCTATACTCCCATGGTTGATCATTGGACCCAATCATAGTATAATGTAAAAGGAAGCTCAATTGTTCAGCTAGCATTTGGGGAATTCTAATAGTTGTGATTTTACTAAATCGAGTTCATTTTATGTCTTGTTGTTACTGTAATTAATTGTTGATCAGTTCCTTTGATTTCATTGCAAATTCTTAAACTGAACTAAGAGCAACAGTAGTTGAGCACTTGAACCAGTCCAGAGATAAGTTGGTGTGTCTTTCACATAAAAATAATTAGTCAGTTCTTTTATTTGTGGACGAAAATGGCTATGAGCTATCTTGGATCTCAATAACTGGGGAGTTGCTGATTTTTCAAACATTACTTTTCTGGTTTCTAATTTTTAGAACTAGAAATAGAAGATTTTCTTTCTTCTTTATGATTTGTTTTAATGTTCTAAAGAAGTTTTCCTTCGAATCTTTATTTTCATTCCTGCCCCTAATCATCTTCTCTATTGTAGGTTTTTGATCTTTTCGATGAGAAGAAAAATGGTGTCATTGAGTTTGAGGAATTTGTCCATTCGCTCAACGTGTTTCATCCCTCTGCCCCTGTAGAAGATAAAATTGATTGTAAGGGTTTAAGAGAAACCATTTTCTTCGTAGCAATAAAGAACGATTTATACCTGTGTCTTATCTATGTTCTCGTTAATTTCTTGCAGTTGCATTTAGGTTGTATGATCTGAGACAAACAGGGTTTATTGAGCGGGACGAAGTGCGTAAAACTCTGTTAAAGCTAGCAGTTCTACATGAATTTAATGTTCTGTAAATTACTCATACTTGATGCACTTCCTACAATTGTTGGATTTTTAGCTAATGAGCTTTTGGTTGAATGCAGGTTAAGCAAATGGTAATTGCCATTTTGATGGAATCTGACATGAAATTGTCAGATGACCTTCTTGAGGCTATCATTGACAAAGTGAGTTCTCTGAAGTTTAGTTCTTTGCTGTCACTGGTGTGAATTCTGCAGCATTTTGATACTTACAGGATCTTCATCTTTTCTGCAGACATTTTCTGATGCTGATGCTGACAAGGATGGTAGAATCAACAAAGAAGACTGGAAAGCATTTGTGCTTCGTAATCCCAGCCTTTTAAAGAACATGACTCTTCCTTATTTGAAGTGTGTGACTAGCTCCTATGTTCTTTCACTACTTGTTCCTTTTCCAGTAATGCATGCATAGTCCAAGTCCCTCTTCTTTCAATGATCTCGAATTGTTTGCTTGACCCCTTGAATATCCATGGTAACTTAATTATCATAGCTCATTCTTTTATGTTCTTCTCGTTCGTCAGGGACATAACCACCGTATTTCCCAGTTTTGTTTTCAACACTGAAGTTGAGGACTCATAGTGTGAAGTGATTTTAGACCAATGTGCTGTGAAGTTCAGTATGATGTAAACCCAGTGCAAGAATATTTAGTTAGTAGATCCTGCTATCGAAAAGCTTTGACTCATGTCTCAGTGCGGGAGATGAAGAAACAACGTGCCTCCATTTCATTGAAGCAACACTAGGAAGTGATAGTAACCAGATCTTTCTGATTAAGCTCTCCGGGCGTGTTTTTTTATGACCGAATGTGGCAACTGTCGATGCTGTACGGTGGATAGATTGCAGATTGAGTGGATTTTGGAATGAGCTTGCGTAGGATAGCGTTCTCAGCTTCGATTGCCTTGTACAAGTAATTTCTCCCTGCCAATCAAACGTTAGCTAGTGCAATCTGGTCCGTCCGGAATGCTTACATTAATTCTGGTGTTTTATCTTATTACTTTGAAATCTCTGTGAACTGCCTTGCTCTTGAAATCTCTTCCTGAGACCTGCTTTAGCAGAACCGGTGATTAGCTAGGTGGCCAAAAAGGAGAGATATCCATGCCACACAATCAAAAATATCCATGGAGGAAGGAGTGGATTGGAGATCATGTCACAAAAATGAAGTAAAAAGCATTCTTCTGTTTTGACTGTCATACATTCTTTTACCATGTTAAGGGTCCTTAGCTGCAGTTGAATCAAACCTTGTTGATGTAAGAAAGCAATGGGATGATGAACTTTATAGCCTTGTGTGGCTAAAAATGGCACAACATGCAGTGAAAACCCAAAAAGCTTTCTTGTTATTAGAAAAATCGTCTCTTTTAAACTAGTTCATAACTATTTATAGCTGTTCTTTATTATGAGATTGATTCTCCAAATGGGAATAATATCAGTTTATGAACATGCAGCTCGTGGCCATGTGACTTCATTTTCTTTCTCCGGAATCTGAGCTTCCCTTTTCTGTAAAGGTTAAAAGCTAAAATTCAAAAGCTTCCTTCAAAATAATTCAAAAGTTTTTTATTTCAAAATGATGTTTTTAATTTTTTAATTATAAATACTGTTAATCAACAGTTAAAAAGAATTATACTTAATATTATATAAATATTTTAAAACACAAATGCACTCTTAAAAAAATTTGCTCATACTCTCTTTCAAAACTTAATAAAATTGACTTTAATATTTTAATGAAATTCAATATTTGACAAATAAAATTAAAACAATAAAATTTTAATACAGAATTTATGAATATCATAATTTTTCTCACTTTAATACTCAATAAAATTCAATATTTGACAAAAAAAATTAAAACTTTTAATCTATTGTAATCAGGTCAAAGTTTTTTATGTCACCTAAACCCTTTTTTTTTTAATTTTATTTTGGAGTGACCTAAACCCTATTAGTGAAAAAAAAATTTGGTCTAAAATTTTTTTAACAAAATTAGTAATCATGAATAAAAAATTAATCTGTTAATTTGATATTATCATATTTGAAATATCTGTTTTTACATAAAAATTTACTTTTAATATATTTTTTTAATAAAAAAATTCCAAATTATTCAAGAAATAAAGAGTTTAATTTTAATAAAATTTACGTCAATAAATATTTATGGTTTTCAAATCAGATACAGTTTCAAGTTTCTAAATCTTTAAATTAAATTTTTTTATTAAAATTTTTAAGAGAAGGACAAACATATTTTTTTTAGAAAAATATGTTTAAATAAAAAAATTAGAAAACTAAAATGTCCTTGTGAAGACTTTTTGAATTCAACGGTTAAAAGTAAATACTGTTGATATCAATTTCTGAAGTAAATAGTTTTTTTACTGCTGATTTCAATTTCAAACGTATATAAATAATTAGATAAACATAGAGAGGCATCAAGTTCTTGCTATTTCCCCACACTTGCGAAGTCCACGTGTAAAATATTCTCCACATATAAACCTTCACGCTTCTCAAAGAGAGGGGATTCTCCTGCTTTCCTTCCATCGCTTATTTCTTCTCGGTTTCAAGTCTGTGTTTTAAGCTTTTGAGTAACAGCAATGGCGGACAAGCCAAGCCGAGGATTGGTCTTATACGGGGACGGGTTGGCCCGTTTCATTGAGCCATCACATGCCCATCTGCACTCTCTCGCATCTAACGCCAACTGTGGTTTCTTGAGCCTCCCTAATGCTCCGCCTTCAGGTTCACTCTGTCTTTTCAATTCCTTGTCAATTTTCTTTTTCAATCTTCTACTCTAAATTTAGACAGTGGGTAATTGAGATATAACCTCTTTAATTTGCGCCCACATCGAAAGATTAATTCCTTTGCTTTTTTTTTTTATTAATTGCCGGGGAAGATACCACCTTTTATAATTGGTTCGGCTGTTTTTAGGGAAATATTATGTCATTTGTGCTTTAAGAAGCAAATTGAATTGTATGGAAGGGATTGATGTGACAATGGAATGCTTAGTTCATCGTTCGTTTATTTGATACATGGAGGTTACACAGATTGACTTGAAAGTAAGGACTGTGGTGATTGACAGAATAAGCTTATGGGTTCTTTTGTAGTTTTCAAATTAGGTAGTCTAATGTAGAAGTGTAAGTCTTTGCTCCATTAAATTGCTGATCCACCTCTATTCACCTTGTCTTTAATGTTTAGAACCTTATCATGCCTAGTTGTATTTATTTGTTTTATTTCAAGTGGTCATGATATTCAGATACCATCTTTTAACTTGCTCCCCTCTCCTTAATTAGTAATTAAGTTCATGCTTGTTTTTACATTTCTAATTGTTGTTAGTCATCCACCATTATTGGGATTTACTTGGATTTAGATTGCAGAAAGCGAGGATGATAGGATAGTAAGAGAGTTTGCGGTACTGATGGATGCATGCGAGGCATACTTCAACAAGGTGAGATACATATTGCTCTTAAGTAGTTCAACAGTGCAAGTTCATGATGAATTCTCTATTGCTCTTTGGTTTTGTCAGAATGGGCAACTTTCTACAGAAGCAAAGTCTCAGAAGTCATCCTTGATTCCAACCATGTCAGAAAGGTATTATCATCCATTTGCTTGGTTTTAGTCATTAGCTATGAGAATATTCCAACCAACACGCTTCATAATCTCACTTCAGGTTCATGGGAATGAGAGCTGCTCTATTGACTAACAGTTCTAGTTTGAAATCTTTTGGAGAAAAACTTGGCTTTGATGTGTTGCATTTGAATGGATTATTTGAAAATATCAATTTTCCCTCTGCACAGTCAGCTGATTATTTGGCTTCTGAATTGTTGGCCTTACTTGGATTTCAAGAAGGGAAGATATTAGATGTCGGCCAGTTTGATTTAGTAATTGTGCATATTGGATCTGGAGAGAATTTGAATTCTGAAAAAGACAAAGGTACAGCAGGTGACATGGAATTCATGAATGCTCTAATTGGTGCTATTATGCTCATGGCTCAACCTGGAACTGAAATTGCTTCCCGTCTTTACTTGTCCCTTGTTATGGGCTATGGGTATGTGTCAAGGGCTGATGATCCTGGTTTGTCAATATTGAGCCACAACTATGAGAATGATTCTCCTCTTTCAGCACTCTTCCCTCGACAGAGTTACACCATGAGAGGAGAAAGTCCAAGAAATGATGTTAGGTACGTAAAACTTTGTGGATTCTTGTTCTGCATTTTGACATTTTGTGGGTATTTAACTAATTTATGACAACAGGCACCATAGTCCCATGTTAGTTGCTCAATATCAGAATGCTGTAACCCGCAAAGATATGGTAGACACGTTTTCTTTTAAAGATTTCAAAGAGGTAAAAATTGAGACCATGAGATACTTTATAAAGCTCTAGTTATAATAGTTTCTTAGATTATGTTATGAAGTAATTTTGACTACATGTCTTCAAACCTGCTCTTTTCCAATATTATTTGCTTGAAGTGTCACCCCTAAGTGAATTGGTACAACATGACAAATAACCTTGGTTCCTATGCTTTTGATTTAGACCCTTTTTTTTTTTGGCATGCATAAGCTATTCAGAATATGAAACATAATGGTTTTGCTGATTTGATACTTGTTTCAGTTTCTTGTGATCATTATATTTAGTTTTTTTTTTTGGTTGCAGCGTTCTGGAAATCTCATCATACCAGCTGATAGGTTACTGCATGAGATAGCATTTAAGCTTTGGAAGGCACCCAAGTATGGGGCATAGGAGGAATTTATATGTCTCTATGACTTAAAATTCAACTTTTTAATATAATTATAGAAGATAAGCGAAGATTTAAGCGTATCATGAATTCAATACTTTTGAAATCCTTTTTCTTTAATGATGTTTTTCTTGATCTTACTTTCACTAAAGTTGACTATTGTCTTCATGTAAGTCCGACATGATCTTAAAGTTACTGTTGACAGCAGCCAGTTAACTTTAATGATTGTATTGTAGTTTTGATCTCAACTTTATTATATGATTACAATCTGCTTAATTAAATGGGTTTGCGGCTGGATAGTCGGAGTGCAAATACTGTTGTGATTGTTGTTCATTTGTGCTTCTTTGCTCAACATTTCTGGGAAAAGGATGTAATTTATGCTAATAACGAACTTCTATTCCGTTGTTACTGTCTGAAATTGTCTATGCTAAGCAGAGTGGATATATACTTGGGGGTTAAACTTTGTGACCACGTTACGAGGTTCTGAAACTCCAAGCGGCTGAATGGCTTTTAACTTGAGCCTATGATCCGCTAGCAACTCCCCGTTAGCTGGGGTCTGTGGCTTCTTGTGTGTACATGTCCAACATGAGCAGAAGGATGGCAGCCCCAGCGAACACTCTGCACAGGCTGGTTGTTGCTCACATGTTAAGTCATTGCCCTCATTTTGGTGTTCACTGTTGGTGAATTTGTTGATATTCTGCCTGAAATGCATTAACTAATCTTGAAAGTGGTTCCACTGAGCGTTTAATTTCAGAAAAATATCCAAATTAAGGCACCCATTCAAATAAACAGGCTTGCAAAACGAGAGCAACATTCAAACCTGGTCGGTTGCATCATGTTCTCGGGGTAGAAAGGAATTCCAATATTCAAATGAATTATCACTCTTATTCCAATGGGGTTTACATGAGAATGAAATCTCACTCAGGACAACCTTAATTCAAAGTTTCAATGAGATTCTAAGGCTGGGAAGCACTGCTGAATGAACCTCATCAAATCTAAATGACATCCCGCTTTAGCTCTAGAGCATGAGATTATTCTCCCGTTGCCCAACACATATATTGCACAACTGCTAAAACTTTCTTCTTATTGCTAATGAGAAGGCTGATAAAGTAGTCATGGCATCAGATTACATCTTAGCAACATCTAGTAAGCCAATGACATTGATGTAAGATCTAATCACACTCTAAACTTCATGAACTTACCACCAGAGAAAAAAATTTCTAGTATTAAATTAAATGTTCACTTTCCCTTTAAGAAGCAAATCTACAATTTAGGTCCTTGATGAAGGGGATAAACTTATCTTTTGGCATTTGCTGGTTCCACATGAAACCTACTGCCACTCTGTGTCAGGTATTATAAACATAGTTTTTGAAGAAACACCAAACTGTACCAACTGTGCTTCTTTCAACTAACAAAAATTCAACGTTAGTGGAAAAAAGCTCTAGCATTCCAATAAGGTTTTGATACAATAAGTGCCCAACAGAAACCACCCCATAAGGAGGAGAGAGAATGAGAATAATCCAACCAAGAATGGCCAGCCAATCAGTATTAAGCCCAGGCAGAGCACCACTGTGAAAGGGAGGAATGATCTTATTAATGACATGGTATCAACCCAGTGCCCCTTAAACAGTATTAAAGCTGCCACAGTTACCATGTTCCAATCCATTGATCCACCATAGCAGAGTCGGTTTAGGCAATTGGCAACAAATGAGTGAGAGTTGCATGTGAAGAGGTTGTAGCTTTTGTGCTCAAAGTGACGCACACTCGACCGCAAGGCATCATCCCATGTGACTGCAGTCCCAAACTCCGTGTGCTGGTAGCCATGCTTGCATGTGTGCCCAGCCAGGTTTGGGGGAAAGCAACACTAATTCCACAACAAAAAATAGTCAATGCACAAACTACTTGTTTTAAGCAGTTCAACTTTCTCTTTAATAAAACAAAAACTAGCTCACGTAAAAGCATAAGGGGAGAAACAGAAATGAATTATTGCTTCCCATGAAAGAGATATACTAGTTTGGAAAAATACAGTAGTATCACGATGGCAAAGTGTGCACTGAAAAATATAAAAAGTTCAATTCAGAGCATCTACACAAAACTGTACCTTTTCTCTATCAAGTTGAAGGTACCGAGCTGCAGCACCAAAAGCAAAATCCTCAACATTCACAAAATTTGACCCTGAAAAGTCCAAAATTGCTCCATCCTCCCTGCAAATGCCAACATGTCCAATGAAAGGTGCCAACCATGAGACAACTGGGAGTGGAGTCCAAACTATGCAGCAAGGAAACTTTGCCTTCTTTGGATCAATTTCATCTAGCGGCCACAGGTCATGCTGAATTCTAGATGTAGAACTCATATGCTCAACATCATAAGCAGATTTTAGGTCCATTATAGGAAGTCTTCCACGCGGCATATGGCTCTGTGCAAATCTAGGTGGTGAACCATCACCATTTCAAAAAACACCCCCAGACATAATGGACTTGTTCCCAATTTGATATGCAATTATACAGTCAGAAAGACAATAGTCTCAATCTACAATAAATACATAATACTGTAACTTTAGAAAAAAAAAATCAAAAGAAAAACTTTTATGCTATCAGTAGGTAAACATCATACAAGAAAAGGCAATAAATTGCGCTGAGATTGCAAAACCGCCAAATGTCAATATGGTGAACAATTATCAACATGCATAAATGAATAAAAAAAATTCAGATTGGCCAATAGAATTTTTGAAATTCAAAACTTTCATCTTCACTATCATACAAGGACTCCATTGTTGTAGGTTGCGGTTGCACTGCCATTCCTAATTGGGCAAATATCCAAGCCATTTACTTTCCATAATTGATGCTTGATGTACGGCAGTCTTATATTTGACAGTCCTCATATTTCAGTTCGTAGATAAACTCTCCAGAGTGAATGAATTATGCCAGTAATTAATTAATTCTCAAAATGAGTGCATCTTAGCAAGTGCATCAACCTTTGTATAAATTTAAAGTCCATCAAGGTCCAAAAGTCTTTAAATTAAATTTAGATTCATTACCTTAATATACAGGAACATTCATAAATCCTAAATTTTTTCAATTAACCTAATCAAATGCTATGTTATTGATTATTTCAACACTCACACTCAGTCCCAAGAAATAGAAATGTCACCATAACTAGATTAACATACTATGTTATTATCATCCTTATAGCCTCGACCAACATAAGTTTTGGCCCTTTGGTTGTACCTATTTCAACTCAAACCAGATAATCTCTCCTGTCTTTGGAAGCATCAGTCTAGACTTTACCAATATAAAGACTCATTATGGCAATGAAATTCCCCCATAGCCAAAGTTAAGCTCAGCTCAAGCATGTCACTGGCGAAATAGCCACATTATAAACGGAAAAAGCACCAAAAGTGTAAAATCTCCTTCATTCTCTAATGACTAAAACTACCATGAAAGACCCCATTCACTAACCAAAGCAATCAAAAACTTTCTATATCAGGGGCACAGAGGAATGCAAAATTTTCATCTCAAAGTGTTCTTTTGAACAGTAGAAGTTTTTCCTCATGTTCAAACCAGAAACAATTCCCACTTTCTTTGAAGAGATGTCTATTTAGCTTTAGTTATCTATTTATAAGACAACTCTGAGAAAATATCAAAAGCGCAAAAAAGGGGGCATATTTTACAGCCAGCATAGCAATCTGCAATGCTCCAAATAGATAATCGACCTCAAAACATGCATCCAATATCTTAGATCCTTTTCCTTCTGTCAACGAATCAAATTAAACACTAAAATGCTCCATTTTATAACTGAGAAATCAGCAAAAATGAATCTTTTCACAACCCATTCTCTCTACCTAACAGTCGTCCATTCAATCCACTCAAAAACGCTAATCAAATTTCTCTTCGCATGTATTCTAAATCATTTCTTCAGCCAAGCCAAGCAAAGACAGAAACTGCATCCCAACACATTAAAACAAAACAAGATCTCTAACTCCATGTAATGCATATTCAATCAAGAAAGAAAAAAACAGAACAGAAGAAAACCAAAAGAATAATGTAAAATTTTCGACCAATGATGAAAGTTTTACCACTAACCTTCAGCAAAAAAAGTAGGCTGTGGGATGGTGTGGTGTATTGCTTGGAAACAAAAAGTGGGTTGTGAAAAATGAAAACAAAGCAAAGATCTTTGCAGGTTGGTAAGGGAAAGGAAATGATAAGGAAGAAGAAAGGTTATTGCTTTGGCCTTTTGTTTTTGGTTTTGGATTTTGTTGGTGTTGGGTGGTGATGGAAGAAGAGGTGGTGTTGTTGTTCATTTCGAAGAAGCAAGAGTGATTTGATATATTCTGACAAAAAACCAATTTTGGGAATTAATCAGAATTAAAAAAAAAATCAATGAGTGATACATTTCTCTAGAGTTGGAATTAGAAAGAGAAGAGACGGTAGGAAAATGGCAAGGTGCATGAACCATCCGGATTTTCACTTCCAGGTGGGACCCTCACCACCATCCCTCACGTCTATTTAATTAATATTCAATTACTGCTTTGTTTATTTGCTTTTCTTCCTACACTCAGGCTACAAAGATTTTACGTTACCCCTTAGTTCTTATTGACCAAGATCTTCTGGTTTCCTTTCGTTCCCTGTTCCAGTTTTAGCTTTTGAGTTAAGGGTTTCTTGGTGTTCTACTTGTTAGGCTTTAGGGAAAGTTCTGGGTCTGTTTTAGGGGACTCTGGTTTAACAGTCGCCTCAACCGAGGAAGATTCAGATAGAGATATACTCATTTTTAATTTACCATGGTATCACTACAACATGGTAAAGAAAAATCTTTTACCTCTGCTGGGATTTTCCTCTTTGGATGTGGCATGCTTTTACAATGACATCTGGCTGGATTTTAAACGTTGAGCTGGATGTGGCTTGATGAGGGGCAGATTCACAGTTAGCCACAACCTAATTAATAATTATTGATGGGTTCTGTCCATAAAATCAAAACGCATCTTTTCCTTCCTTCTTTCCACTTTTGTCTGGAAATTTTATCTAGGGTGATTTCAATGTTCGGATATGGGAGGAGAATATGTCCGACAAAATATATAATTGTTTAATAGCAGAGATGGTTGGTGCCACTCCTCCACTTTATATTTCTTTTGAAATCGTTATGAGCCACCGTACCTAGAAAAAAAAGGGCAAGAGGGCTGCGAGGCTGCGTCTAACTTTATAATTTTCACATTTACTTTTCTTGAAAATGTTATCTTTTATTGTTAAATATCCTCATATTTTATTAATTATTTGTAATATTTCACGCCAAGAACGTGAGCTTTATCACATTTTGATGGATGACGTGATAGTGAGATTTTGTATAGAGGGACGATGCATGTAACGTGAGCATATAAGTCTTTTTTTTTGCACGGAGTTGCAAGAACTTTTTGGTTTGAATGATCAAGTGCACGCACCTTCCAAGAACTTTCAGGTTACAGCCTTTTTTTTTCCCCATTTGAAATTCATATCCCCCCCTGTCTGATCATGCAAGACAGGTACGTTGGCTTGAATCAGATCATTGCTGGGATACGGAAGCTTTTTGAGGAGATTGTAGCACTTGTTTCTTTTTCTGAGAGATCTTCCTAAGGAGGAACTAGTTAGGAAATAGAAGTGAACAAAGTTATGTTGTGGGGTGGATTTGCTGACATGAAAGTTAATACAATTTTAGAGGATCCCATGGCTTGTATAAGCTTGAAGCTTGAAGGGTTCTCAGGATACTTGCTTGGCAGTCTTGAGTTACAGCAATATTTTCATGATTCATCAGCTATTCACCCTCTCTCTCTCTCTCTGCAAGATTTGGAAACATACCTTGTGAAGATAAGGTTCTTTGGACGAGGACATGAGGGATACAAAAAGGGTGCCAGCTACAGAGCAGGTACTAATTAATTAATGGAGGATCTCTTTGTTTAATGATTCAAAAGGAAAACAGGTGAGAAAAATCTTTGACTGAAAGCAATACGGGAGTGTCACCGACTTTGACCTCATATATCAACAGAATGGGTACATATATATATATCTAAGATTTCATTGATTCTGCGATCTCAATCATTCATTGTATATTGCTGATTTGAGTATGTGAGCTGCATTTTCTTCGGGGTTGATGCCCGCGGAGAAGGAAAGCTTGGGTCAGGATCATTACTTTCATTTTTCAATGGATCCTGTTCTATTATGTTGACTAAGTCCTGATAGCAGGAACCAAGATAGCCACATCACGTTATTTTCTTTCTACATTTCAAGGCAAGGTTGGGTTGCTGCGGTTGAAGTGTCAAGGTTGGTAAAGAAATGAGGAACAGAGAGCCTCGCAAATGAGGGATGGGTGAGGTAGTGAAAGGACAGGTTGAGAACTTGATAGGCCTTAAATCCAAATCACTTCATCCTTTTACCGTTGTACGTTCACGTGCATGGCTAAAACATCTTAAAGAGAACAGAGAAGTTCATGCTCCTAACCTTCTAACGTTACATGGAAAAAGGAAAAACAAAAATATAGCTCAAAGTTGATTAACATGCAATCAACTCGTGACCAATACAATAATCCTGGCCTCAAACTGTCCTCAAACTGTTAGCAACATTGAATTCTAGTCTTCCTTTTCTAACATAATTGTTTCGAAATTTCCCAGTACTAACATTACAAGCTACTAACTTTCAAAAAAAAAAAACATTACAAGCTACTGTTTCTATAGCTAAAGTATAGCAATAAATAAACCTATACACAATGGACTGCAAGGAGACAGGATATGCCCCTGAATATATATACAAATAAATGAACTGTACAAAGTATTAACAGCGGCTCAAGGACTGGACTAGGGAAGACCAGGTTCACCACAGAATGCATCTGGCTCAAATGATCTTGCAGAATCGTCATCATAAACTCCTGGTATAGCTCTAGCCCCAGCTTCTTTAGACATCATGTAGGAACCCTCTGGCCTCCATCAACATTTATGAGGGGAAGAATGCATACGAGCAAGGATACTGCAAGGGTTACTAGAGTGTACTTTAATCTGCTCAGCGCAGGCTTGACCTTCATGTGGGAGAAACACATACCACAGCTCTTAAGCGAAGAGTTCAAATAAGAAAGTTTCTTCTTATAGTGTAAGTGCAAAGATCATCGGATTATCGCTCAAAGTTTAGAAAATTTTCCCGTGAATAAATTCCCTGAACTTCTAGTCTCAGAAAACTACATGTCATTAGATGTTTGCAAAGTGCTGATTACCATACTGACAGAGGTGGATGAGCGATACCGACCCTTATTCTTTTTGTTCTCTTTGAAAGAAAAAAACAAGAGGTTAGGTTCTTACCAGCCTCATAAGTTAATAAAATGTCATTTCATCAATAGAAGTCACAGGAAAACTATTGAGCAATGTTTGTGTTGATTTATGGAAGGTCAAAAAAGGCCTACAGCAGCAAAGGCCAATCACAAAAAAGGGCAAGAAGAATTCTGGTCTGAGTAAAACTCCAATTAAAGAATACTCACTGAAAATGAACCAATAAGCCTGTCACGTGCCAAAACTTCAGCAGTCTTGACCCATATCTGTGAGGAAAACTGTATCAGTCTCTACTTTCTACCACGAGATATTCATGTTACGAAAAATTTGTTCACTATAACTAAATGTCTGTAACCTACATGGCAAGGAGCTCAAATTAAACCTTATGAACAGGTGTTTGAAATAAAAAAACAAAAAACCTTCTGCAAGATTGGTTTGATAGCCATCCCTTCATCACTTGTGAGGATTGAGAAATCATGCTTCAAAAAATCCAGATTACAGGAAGCTATTTCCATGTAATAAACAAACTTTTGGCAACACATAGTGAATAATCAGGACACATTATAGACACAACTGATCAAAATCATAGTGAAATAGAAGTAACTGTTTAGTTTACTGCTAATGAAGTAGGCAGGGAATGAAAGAAGTTGCTTGTGTAGACCCTGGCTTATAAGCCTCCCACAGTTATAGGGTATACATTTTAGAAGGACCAATTTTGAACCTAGCCTGTGTCAAATACTGTAATCCATCCTATTGCAATAAACTTGCCAACAGTCTCTGTGACGGGTCAATTGGTTGAAGGTGGAATCATTTCACAAAGGAAAAATTATCACTTAACAAACTCAGGCAGTGTGCAGTATCGTAGAAATTACTTGAAATTTGAAAGTCAAGGAAAGTCAAGTTACTTAAAAGAAGAATATTACATGAAAGGAACTATTGAAACATTGCATACTTAGAAAACAGAAGATTAACATAAAATGAAGAGGCAATTGATTCCAACTAAAACAAAACTTAGGAATAAAACTAGACATGAATAATACCTGTCCATCGTACCATCCCGTTTCTTCATCTGCAAGCCATGAACGAGAGAAATCCCATAAGCAATCCATCAAAGGAGAAATTTTATTTAACCAAGAAAGAATACACATTTCGCATGACACTATAACATAAAACACAGAGGAGTTTACATTCAACAGTGGCACTGAGTAAACGATTCCCAACATAAGCCCAACCCAATACATCCTCAAAACAGCAACAGTAACACAAGAATCCCACTCGAGACAGCTGCAAGAACCAGCCTCATCGGGTCGGATTTGGGCCCACAGAACCGAACCACGCTACAGGTAGACCAACAAAGAGCGCGAAAGAAGCACCGTAACGAGCAAGCGAGAGCAGTATTCGACAAGGTCGCCAGAGGCCCAAGAGAAAGGTAAAGAGGTGGAGAGAGATTGGTATTCGTTTATGGGTTGTTGTTCGTGTGGAACAGGGCACTCTGTTTCGGGCAGGGAGGAGTGTGCTGTTGCTGCCATTTCCACTTTTGTTGGCTGAGCCGGAATTTTGGTTATCGGATAAGCCTTGTTGATGGGATGAAGAGGGAGAAACCTGGGTCTTGAGAATGGTATAAGCGGGGAGGGGAAGGATGGGGCGGAGGCTTGTGGTGGTTTTGGCGAGAGTTGGAGGAGCAGTGGGGTGGCCATGGTTCTATTGCTGTTCAATTGATAACTGAGATTATTTTTCCTTTTTAGTATTTAATGGATTTTAGTTTACCTTTTTTTAAAAAAAAGAATTCTTTTTAAAATTTAATTATTAAGGAAAAAAATTTATCAAAAGACGAATATAGTGCCATGGATGTTGTTAAACTCAGAGTTGCTGGCAATGGGGCACATGACCAGCCAGCAACCCACAGTCGGTCGAGCAGAAACTCTTTCTTGCTTATACATTTCAAGCGGATGAGGGTTGAAATCCTGATGCCAAATTAAAAACGGAAGAGGTAATTTCCATACAATATAATACAATACAAATACTTTTTATAGTTAGAAAGGAAAAAATTAGAATGAAGGAGCACATTATTTGCAAATAATTCCTTTTTCTTTTTTTTTTTTTTTGTTTTGTTTTGTTTCCACAATGAGCTGTGAGATCACATGTTTACAATTCCAGGGATTGGGATTCTCTTACCCAAAACAAAGACCTCCACAGGTAAAGAACGTACAGAACTATTTATTTTTGTTTTTCTTTCTTTCTTCCTTTGTTTTTTTTTTTTTTGGGTTTTGTTTTCTCCTTTTGTTTTTCCTTTTGGGAACTTTCTTACACTTGACAGAAGCTACCTATTCATGATACTAAACACAAATTTTGAAGTGGTACCCTCCACTGCCCTTATGCAGCTGCTTACTTAAGAGGAATCCACTCCATTCAGGATGGAGTAAGTGCTGATCCCCCACTTCGAATGAGCCAACACTTTCCGCCTCCTTTCTCTAACTTTCTTTGCACATAAAAGGAAAAACTTCCGGCTGCCTGGCTCTTTGAGCCAGGAAACAGCTAATAAAGTACTTATTACATTGACACTGCACTGATTCATCCTATGAGTTGATTTGTAGAGTTTGGCCTTTCAATATACAGACGTTGAAGACGCCGCAGTCGGGACATGAGCTGTGCAAATGATGGTCTAAGATGCGGCTCCCTGCAAAAGAAAACAGACCAAGTAGGATTAATGCAATTTTTTCAACATTGCAGACCGTCAAAAATAACAATAGCTCCTTTTGACTCGCAGATTCACAAGCAAAGACTAACCATAGAAGCTGACTAAAATGGTTTATTGGAAACTACAAGAATCCCACGTATCCTCCCAATTTCAATCTAACATTACAGCATTTTGACTAGATTCTGATCACCAATTATTTTGCTTAATGTAAAGAAAAGATTACCAGGATTTCTTTTTATATGAGTGCCCAAGAAATGAGAGACCAATTAAACATTCCAAAGAGAATTGAGTTGGTGCAATGACCACCACAAAGGATTATATAATCATTCTCCTGATATAGATAACATAAATAACTTCAAGAACTCACGTCTGCCAACATTCACATATAATCTGTGCAACCATTGGATCAACGTCTTCAGGAATTTCTAGACGCCTATTCTGGAATCCAACAGCTCCAACAACTTGCATTGGATTCAAACCTTTCCAGGGTACACATAAAGTAACCAACTCCCATAATATCACACCAAAACTGTACACATCACATCTGCAAGCAAGCCAGATTATTTGTATAAGAAACAAAATAGAAACGTTGGACAGTAACACATGCATGCAAAAAAGCTATTAAAGTCACCTACTTCTCATTCGCCGGTTCATTCCTTAAAACTTCCGGTGCCATCCATTCAGGCTGCAGTTGAACGGCAAATTTTTACTTTATAAAATAAAGACGACAGGTTTCGATAAATAGGAAAGTAAGACAAAACACAAAGTGGACAATGAGGGCTATCTTTTAGAATATACTACCGTTCCAGCAGTAGACTTTGAAGACAAGAAAGTATGATGCTTCATGCGTGACAACCCAAAATCACAAACCTGCATAAAGAAGCAAATATGTTGGAAAAAATTCAATGGATATCTGTCAGCAGAAAATAAAAGTAATTTGCAAAATTGCTTATATAAACTATGAGCAAAATCAAGGAAGAACTTTTGACCAGAATTTAGTTTTGAGAGAAGCACCTTTACAACCCAGTTCTTATCAACAAGGAGATTTGGTGATTTCAAATCTCGATGCACTACCGTAGGATGGCTTGTGTGCAAATAATTCATTCCTTTAGCCTGCAAACAATAAGAAAGCTTAACTTAAGTAACAAAAAAACCTACAACAAGAAGGCAGGGAAGAAGGGTGAAAGGAAAAGGAAGGCAGGGAGAGATTCGTGCAAGATATGAAGCAAAAGAAAATAAAATAATTTATTCATTTGTAACTCCTACCACATCAAGAGCCATTCGCATTCGCCTCTTTTCATCAAGTTGAGGATTGGGTCGATGCAGTAGCTTATACAAACTTCCCCTGCATAACAATGAGGGAGGATCAAGAAAAATGTAGTACAAAATGACCAACCTTGTCCTTTTAAATTAATCAAATTCTTGGCAGAAACCAGAACAATAATAGAGAGGTCTAGTATTTATTAAATAAAAAAGAAAACACATCTAGAGACTGATTCATTGTTTTCATACGCAGCGAAGCACAAAACACAAGCACTTAGTAGCATAAATGCATCAACAAGGGCACAAGGAAGTGGAGTCCAATACCTAATATCTACAAACATAATGTCAGGACAAACACAAAACAGGCACACAACATTCCCTGAGGACACAGCTCAAATGCTAACATTTTTTTTTTGCTCAAATCAAGTGCTAATATTATTTGCTGGATTCATCCTTTAAACCAGAAGGAAACCAATATCAAGTTTAAAATCCCAAATAAATAGCCCTTTAAAATCAAAAAGAATGTGCAAACAAATGTTAACTTACTAACTATGAAAACATGGCGGACAAAAGAGAACTATTAGGATTACAAAAAGAAACTTAACCTAGGGAGAAACTCTGTCAGTATAGAGAAATGTGGGGAGCGAGTAACAGCTCCCATGAAAAGAACAACATTTGGATGCCTCAACCTTAACATGATTTCAACCTGCACAAAGTCAATAAAAAGAGATGATCTTAATATAAATCAGTGTATTCTACAGGCAAGTTGAGCTCACAAAAATGAGAAGAAATAAACAAGAGTCAAGCTATAGGAAATTATTTCTGGGGCTTACTTCACATTTAAATTGAATCAATGCATCACCAGAGAAGTCTTGATCTAAAAACTTCTTCACAGCAACCTCCTGAAGTGCCAACGAAGACAATTAGACAAACACTCGAAATAAAAATACCATTAGAAGTCAATTACAGAGACTCACTGCACAAGCCATATATTGTTATCAATCAATAAAAGAATGATTTAATAGAGACTAATGTTGGTGCTCTTAGTAGACTTAATACAGCAGTTACAGATTTTTCAGATTTTGGTAAGTTTGCACCACATATTACCACAATTACTCAATCACAGTGACTACTGTCTTTTCCTATTAGCAAACTTGGCATAAAGCAAGTAAATGTCAGTGCTTAGTGAAAGATTAATAACTTTTGAAGTTTTGGCACGTAAAACTGTAATTGTTGTCATCATATCATCAAGTAGTATACTGCTCCTAAAAGTTCATGAAATAAAATGAAGTGGTAGCAAATGTAACTCACAGTGCCATTCCAATCTGCTCGGTAGACCTCACCATATGATCCTGCAAGACAATAATTCATCTTTTACCTCAAGTGTTCACTGGTAGGGAACAGCCAAATCATATTCAAGCAAGAATCATATTCTATGACTCTGCAGATCAAATTATATATGAATATAAAAAGGATTCAATCAACTAAGCTAGCTCCTGTTCGTAAATCCATTGCACCAGAAAGCAGGTTTAACCTATTTCACAAACATCATATGCGGCTATCATGTCTTGCAGGCTTGCAAAATCCCATTCAGATAGAACGTGAACCATACTTGATTGACCTGTAGAACTGTGTTGTGACAAATACCAGTATGGGCAGGAGATAATCCTAGGCATAGATTAAGCTGATATTGGGATGCACAGTCAAATAACTTTTATATCTTCTGCTGATCAGATTCAGCTTTCATACCATAAGTCCAGCCAACAAAAATAGAAACACCAGGACATCCTGGCTAGCATTTATGATACAAGCTGTATCACATTAATAATTGAAATACGGACATCCAAAACTTAAAAGGCTAATTGAAAGCAAAGCAACAGACATGTATAAAAATTAACAAGATTGATTGTGTTATTATGAGACCTACCAATACCAATGCGTTCACCAATCTGAAGATCCTCCCAAGGAATTTCCCATTCTGAAACCTCTCCCAGCATAGGATATATCTTTTCACTGTGACCATTGCTAGCCAGAAGCAACTCACAGTTCATTGTTTCGATCAATTCCAATGCAGATTCTTTACTAAAATCAGTATCAGAAGTCCTTTGTATTAGTTTATCATCCGTGGCCAAGAAATTTTCTGGCTGTCTTTGGCAAAACTCATCAGCAGAGCAGAAGGAAGATTCACGAACTTGTATCCAATCATTAGTTGTATTACTGACAAGATGAAATCCCTCACTTGTAACATCAGAGGGTGATGCAACATTAGTTTTTATGACATTTGTTTCCAACTCCGTTTGCTGTTTAGCCATGTGCTTTTGTCTAGTGTTGGAATTAGTATTTTCTGAAGTCTCCATTCCGAAGGAAACAAGACACTGCTCATTTCTTGACAACTTATTACAAGGGCCACGAGCAGGATCATCTGCGTTTGTCCCTTTCACTAGATTGACTTGTTCAATCATACTTTTTTCACCAAGATCATGTGAATTAATATCCATGAACAAATCTGGAGGAGGTGATGCACCACTCTCCAACAAAACAGCATGTAATTTCTGAGCAAATTCTGGGTCCTTTGCTGCACTAATGACATATCTAGAAACATTTTTAACCTTTCTTTTTTGCGCCGATGATGGTTTTTCATGAAGACAAGAAAAGCTTTCACTGGATTTAGGTGCCGACGGAAGAAGTTTCCCAAACTCCTGTTCAGATCTCTCAGAGACAGCTCTTCCAGTAAGGTTCATCTCATCTTCATTTGTCTGACCACTGACAAATTCCACTGACCTCGTCGCACCAACTTTAGGCCCCATATTCGGAGCAGCTGAAACTGCCAGATTTCCAATGTCTTTGTCAAGCACCAAAGATGAACCTTGAGAGGCTTCACTAAGATCAGCGAAGCCTCTTACATCCAGCGCAGAATTTAGGATATGACAGCTTGGTACTTCAGCAGGAATTAGCGTGCCAGGAGCACCCATTAGATCAATAATATATTCACTGCATTATTTCAGATAATTAATTACACATCAAACTTGTGAGAGTATAAAATTAAACTTTTCTTTTTGACTAGTAAGCAAAACTGCATAGCAAAAGATGAGGACTGAAAAACAGCAAACTCAAACCTCATGTGCTCAATTTAGCTTAAACAGAATCAAATTCCATCAAGCACAGATCTGGGGCCAACAAAAAATCTTAAACTGGCATAACACCATGTTGTGGGAATACTTCAAGAAAAAAGACTCTAATATGCACAAAAAATTGTAGAAATGCATTGCATAGGTACCAAAATAAAGAAAATTTAACTAAAATAAAATTACGCAAAATCAAACATAGAGGATTTGTAGATCTGAGCTGGAGGAAACTACCTTCCATTGTCGATTCTAACCAAGTTCACAGCTCCATCATCAGTACCAGTGTAATAGCTCCCTTTGACCAGCATGCATGGAAGATTAATTCTATCAGCTAGAACCTATAACCAGAAGCACGAAGAAGTTTTCTCAATAAAAGGTCCAGATATATTTATTATTATGGCAAAGTAAAATATAAACAGAGGTGGCAGGACAATATGACTAGCAGAAAAGCACGTGAAACAATAGTCATTAAATAAAAATTAAGAATAGGAGAGAATATAGATATGAGAGTTAACTTATGGAAATAAGATGAGTCAAGAGTTGTTACAACCTTAAAAAGCAGGGCTCTGTGACGAGAAAGTCCAACGTCAAGCCGTCCTACTGGAAGAATGATAGTGTTAAGAGAATTCCTTAACTCATAACTTCTCAACGTCCACATTCTCAACATCTCTTCAGCATCACCAACTGGACCACCCATTCTATTAACAACTATTTCAGCAATTTTTTGAATCAAGCTACTCAAAACTGGGCCATGGCCAAAAGCTCGGGACTGCACGTATATGCTATACACTCTTTTCTCAAGCTCTTGCAGTTCAGGATCAAGCAACCGGTTAACCAAAATTACTTCATAATCAACATTATCTAACACCGAGACTGCTTGAAGATCAACCAAAGATGGCATCTTCCCTTGGGCACCCAGAGTTGAGGTAATGCCATACACATCATAAAATCCATCCACAATTTTTTCATCATAATTTACAACATTATAGTTCTGCAAATAACATAACATAGAAATTAACTTTCTTATTCTCAAAAGAAAAAACAAAAGTATATCAACTAATGGGTTCCAGCCCTTGTCTCACAGAAGACATGAACAGAAACCCTTCAGCCTGTACAGCATTAAAGAACCAAAGGAAGAAAATGGAATAATTTCAATTAATCTAGTATAAAAAATCAACAAAGAAACTAACATTCAATTCGTAATAATATCCATAACAGCATTCATTACACACTATCCTACCATCATAAACGAACCAAGAACAAGTAAAATCATAATAACCAGAAAGGCAGCACTATAGTTCCCTAACAATTAGATAAGAAATATAAAAATTCCCACAGAAACGTGCATGTAAGATTTATAGCAAAAAATCATAAGGAAAAAGGCTGACCAATTAGCTTATGGTTAAAAAGGGCTTTGACAGTTATATAGTAGCGATAAAATACCATTATAAAAAAAAAAAAAAGAAAAGCAAGAGAAAGCAAACTGCCTATATAACAAAGGACACATTCATATAATAGAAACACAATCCACAACGGGCAAGCCAAACTTCACCTAGTCAAACAATGAGAAATTATCATAGAAAATTAATAAAACCAATAAGGATATACCAATTGCTACATTTAGCAACACTTCAATTAATAAAGGTACCAAGATTAATCGAGCTTGACATGCAAATCAAAAGCATATGTAAACAAAAACAATACAAAAAAGACTTAACAAGTCAATCTTTATCCCAATCAATCCATGACTAATGTGAATGACATGGAAGCTAAGAGTCTCCAAAATTACTACCGGAAAGAGGAAGTCCGGGAATGAGATCCACAGTTGAAAACTCCTCATCTTAGAAGATAAATGAAAATAAAATAAATAAACTAGTAATATATAATGAGGAAACATGAAATGCAATCAAAGGTTATCAATGAAAGAATACTTATTTACAAAAATTCACAAAATTATTGAGACTAAAGTTCAAATAAAGGTATATGAAACCCCATAACCAAATTAAGGGGAAAAAATAAAACCAATTTTCTATTAAAACCGAATCAAACAGGAAATGCATTATGGGAAACCTAGAAATTAGAAACTGATTATCTAAAAGAAATTTTCAAAAAATTGAAATACAAAAAAATATATTACCCAATAACGATGCGAGAGGAACTCAACCAAAACGTTAGTGTCGGTGCCGGCGAGGCTAATCCTTTTAGCGGCGTCGATCTGAGCCGTCTCGGGATCCGAGGCACTGATCGCCAAAGCCAACTGCATCTGAAACTCTTCTTCCAATAAATTAAAATCCACATCATCTCCAGCCGTCCGATCTCCCCTTACCGATTCAACGGCCCCGATTCTCCCATTGTCCCCGAGCTAACCGAAGACGATGACGACGACGACGTCGTTCCCAGTCCCGTCCCGTTCGTCGAGCTAGGACTGGGGCTGGGACTCGGCTGATCACGGGCCGCGCCTCCCCAATCGTTGGTGCTCATTTAAACCACCGCCGATGTGGAGTTTTCTTAACAGATGCTTCATTTTCGACATCGATCATCAACGGCGACTTTTGTTTTTCTTCCTTGTCTTTCTCTTTCTCTCTCTTTTTTTGATTCTCTTTTTTCTTTGTAAGAAATATACTAGTTTTTCTCCCCTTTTTTTTTTTTTTAATTTTTCTCCTTGTTTTCGCTGTTTCTAATTCCTATTCTATTCTATCTACAGTCTTAACCTACGCCCACTACTTGCAAAGCAGATTCGCTTAACCTGCGCACCGTTGTCCGTCAAGCCACTACCACTTGAAAGACTTAAAATTAACCGCTCACCCGTTCCCTCCAACACACACTCGCATAATTACTAGCCTAAAAAACTACTTCTACTGTTGCTACTGGTACCCCATCTTCTCTATTTGTGTATAGTCTTTCTATTATACCGTTTTTGTACTTCAAACATCCCACATTTCAAGGACCCCGTCTTTGAAGCTAACCTGTGTTCACACACAGATGTTTTCCATGGACGTCTTTTGATCATGACCGTTGATCGATTCTTAATGTTCTTGATTTGTTGATGTGGGCTATTTTGCGGTGCTTGTTAGGTCTAGATTGCACCATTTGAAAGTCAGTTAAAAGTAAGTTATGGGGTGATTTCAAGTGAGTTTGACCGTCCGATTGATTTCTGATCAAATTAATCATGTGATCGGTTTTTTGAGTGGATAACAACAAAGATCATCAAAGTTAAAATTGAATCAGATTTAGAGAGCTGTGTTGATGTTAATGATTGCATATTTAATCTTTTTAACACTTGTTGTTGATTTTGATAATGTGATACAATTTATATAAAAAAAATTAAAAAAAAAGATTCTATATTATTTCACTCTATTTAATTATAAATTAAATAAAAAACACTTAACAACAAAATCAAATAATTTTAATTTAAAAACTTATCCATTAAGTTTGTAGTAAATATTAAGTGCATTCATAAAATGCTTTAAGTTATTATCTTGTTGTCATACTTACTTAGTCTTTTAAGTGACATTAACTATACATGTGGTGTTGATGTTTTGAGGATTAGTATTGTCATGAATACAACTATAATGCACAAACTCCTTGTTAAATTGGATGCATGAAAATACACTTTGATGCATGAAAATAGATTATCTTATTGGTTTACGATGAAATTAATCATTTGATTGGTTTTGTGATTAGACAACAACAAAGATTTAATTAACTATTATCAAATTAGAATTAAAAGGTCATGTCGATGTCAATAATTGCATGTTTAATTTTTTTAACAGTTATTATTGATTTCGATCATGTGTTACAATTCATAAAAATATAAATAAAAAAATTATAAATATCTAATATTATTTAACTTTATTCAATTATAAATTAAATAAAAAAATAATTACGAACAAAACAAATGATTTTAACCAAAAAAACTTACCTATTAAATATGTTCATGAAATGCTTTGAGTTATTGTCTCATTTTTCTATTGACTTAGCCAAAGTGCATGCACTGCTCAGGTGGTGTTGATGTTTGGGGAATAAGCATATGGCAAGTAGATGTATAGAACAAATTAAAGAACAAGAAGCACGTTGAGAAAGCTGAGGCGAGTGCACATTGTGATGAATGCAGCCACAATGCACGGAATCCTTGCTGAACCGCGTACATATGAAAATAGACAATGCATGTATGCATACACATGGTAACGAGCGGCTTGTGACTAGTCTTTTGAATTGACCTTCACCTTTCATATCCTTTTTAATTAATAAATAAATGACTTGGTTTATATACGCCAGCTAAGATGTCAGCTAATTGCATTAATTATCGTTTTCTAATGAGAAGTTAAGAAGATAAAGAAAATGATTAAGACAAAAGCATAAATTTATAAATTATCAAAGATTAACGGTGTAGGAGTAAATGTCAGCATTCTTGTTACTCTTTTTTTTTTGGGGGGGAAGCTTAATATCTACCAAAAGTAAATGGAATGTGCATATGTTACCTCATGGAACAGTCCGTTCGTGCATCGCATCAACTACTTGCATACTTCTTTATTTTATTATTATTTTTTTCTTTTATCAAAACGGTTGAGGAACTGTTAAATAAATTATTTTTGTGATAAAGACCCTTTGACCTATGAACTGCTGATAGCTTACCCTAAACAATTCAATTTAATATTCATATATAAATTATTCTATACGTTAAAAAAAGAAAAAGAGGCCATGTTGGAATTGTGGGTTTGAGATATAAGAAGCAAAAATAGAGGCCTTTGTAGATATTGACTTGAGGAGGAAGTTGGGTAACAGTGGCATGTCCCTCAACTGGTTGGTCCCATGTTTGTATTATCTCACGTTTAGGGCAGAGCCAATCAAAGTCATTGTCTTAATTTTTGTTTCTTAAAATATGAATAGTGCCGGTTGATTAAGAATGGAACAGAAAGAAAAGAATATTCCAATGAAAGTGGAGATTCCGTCTTTCAGTTTCCCTGCCCAGGTTAGAGTCTGAATACGAGGTATTATTATTGTTTTTTAAATTAGGAATTGAGTTATTTACTGTATTTAATTAATCCACTGATTTTAGGGAACTGAATTTTTCTTCATCGTGCATGTAATAAAAGTAAAACATGCTGCTTGAATTAATATGTTCGAATTCCTCGAATTATTGCACAAGTTCTGCCTGTTTACACGATGCAATGCATTACAACTAATGCCTAACTTTACGAGTTATCAACAGCTTGGTTTTAAATATTGTTGTAATCTCCTGACTTAAAGATGTGATTTGGTTGTCCAAATTTTGAAGGAACCGAAAATTATTAGTACAATATTTTAACAAATTTTAAATAAAATTTCATTGTTAAGCAAAAAATTATAATTTTATTTTAAATTAAATAAATTTTTATATCGATAAGTGTTGATGTGATATTAAGGTAAAGGATTAAAATCTTATACGACAATATCATTATAATATATGAATATATCATATCATTATTCACAACATATGTATAAAATGATAAATATTATTTTTATTAATATAATTTTAAAAATATTTTTTTAATATAAAATAAAAATATAAAAATTTATTTAAATATTTGAAAATAATTTACAGATTATTTTGATAAGTAACATGCTAGAAACAAATAAAAAAAGTTTCAAAATTTGTACTTTTTTTTTCATTCTTTTTCATTTTTGCTGACTCAAAAACCGAGCAGGACAAAAGTATTACTTAAAAAAGAAGAAGAAGAAGGAAAGACCCTATAACAAGTAAAGAACGAGACAAGCGTTTATGATTGATCCAAATTGTAGCTCATCTTCTGGGGCAATTTCATGAAACAAAGAAAAGAAAAGAAACAATGTATTTGGAGGATATGCAGAATAGCCAATTGAACTCAAACACCCACCCTTGACAAAATCCTCTTTAGAATCCCACGGAATTGATGGCAGCTTTGCAGATTCTGGAACGGTTGCCTTTTTCTTAGTGGTACAATTCTTGCATAGTGGATAAGCTTCTGCCACAAACAGGGAAGAATTGACCAACCCTGTAACACTGGAACACGTGTCTGGTAAAAACTAGGTTACTCCAACCAAATTTAGTTCCATAGTTGAGGTAACTAGAAATGAACAAAAAACAAGAACATGGATCCTCTTTGTTTGCTTCATCTTTTTTGGCAACAGATTTTGCACTGTTGATTGATAAGGAATTTCTTAAATGAATGGAAACTCATGTTTGCCAAAGGTGACAATCTGCTTTATGTGCAAAGGTTGAGGTCTGACTTAAATCTTTAACCAAATCTTGTAAGCGTTCTGTTTTTGTTTTTCCATTAAGAAGGTAGTGAATGTTGCAGCCAAAAAGGCCGGCTGGAGGGGCTGGCAAGTCCCCCAAGTGGTAATGTTGTTAAACAGTGACAGAATGGGCTGGCAAGAATCTAGCAGAGCAGACTAGCAGTGACATTGACTGTTTCATAAATATCTGCCACAGGACAGAAGACAGAGCTGGCAATGAACTGGGTTAGAGAAACAGCCAACTGGAATTTTGACTCAGGAATTCGGCCTGTTTAAGGAAATGGGTAATCTTCTTTTTGCTGAACTTTATTTACTCCGTTGAGAAAATCAAAATTCTGATTTTCATCTAAGAAAGAAAAGCAGTGAGGAATATGCAAATGCCAAGTTGCCAACAATCAGAACCCTTGGAAAAAAAACACAAAGGTACTCTCATTCCAACAAGATATAGTGTCTTATTATCACCGATCCATCACTTTTTTGAGACCCCATTTTAGTTATTGTTGCACATGACAAAGCTATACTATCTTTGACCAAAAGAGAAGAAAATGTTCAACACTTTGATACTAATTTTGTTTTTTTTTCCCATCATTAACATTGCTCATTCACTTTGCCTTTGGACAGTAGTCTTTATTTGCAAGGTCATTCTCGAAAATATGAAGATTATTGTTTTATGCATCAACCTCATATGCAAGGTTTTACACTCATCACATACCCAATTAATCAAAAACTACCGTATGTTCTCTGAAGAATTCAATATTGCGGTTCCAAGAAATCAAAAGGCAGTATTGATTTCCTTTGTTCAAAGTTCAATGGATAGAGTCTGGGCTCAACTTGGGGGAGCTCTTAAACTCTGCTGTTGGTGTAGTTTTCCTATTTTGATTAGGCAAGTGCTGGTGTGCTTATTGTTGCTTTTAATCAGGCGAGAGAATGATTTCTTTGGAATCGAATTGAGGTTCTACTTCCTAGAGAGATACAGAGTAGAGCAATGATAATTACAGTATTTGAGTTGCAATTAGCAACAATTTTGTTATTAAAGCAACTGATTATAAGTGCATCAATCAAATGAAAGTCACAGCTGTAGCTGAGAATATGCAAATGGTGGATAATTTATGTACATGAGCGAGAGGATGTTGGTCTTTTTTTTTTTCTTTCATGGACAAGGAGATGCTGGCTCCAGCTCCCATCTTTGTGAAGATGTCTCAGATCAAGGGCTACAGAGTTAAGGACTAGGCATTGGCTGCAGCCTCCTCTTCAACCATCTGTGATACCGGGAGA